GATCTATCTATATTTGTCTGCACCTTGCCCTTGTGCAGGTCTACCTATCGCCCAGCTGTGGAATGTGCTACTCCGCAGTCGTGTCGAGTTGTTGCATCTTTCGGTCGTGTTTGGCTCTTATCACTGGTTGTTGGTGTTGTTGCCTGTGTGCCGAGCCTTCGAGCCGGTTGAGGGATCGTACCTCGTTCGAACATTACGATCGCGGGATCCGTCTCGCCATGACCGTGAAGCCGAGTGTAACTCGACCCCTCGCTTTTTAAGTTGATTTCATAATACTACGAGTGTTAACTCCTACCTTCGGCCCTAGGACATGGTTGCGATGGATTCGATATCGATATCAATATGGATGCGTATATCATCCGCTCACATCGAGCCTTTCGCGACCTAGCCTATGGGAGATGACCTGGGAGATAACAATCATGGAACGATGGATGCCAACACGTGTTGGTATAGCTTGTGGCCGTGAGTTCGGCTCGCCATGACCATGGAGCTACGCCTCTCTTTCGCTTTTGTTTGCTTCTTCATGCACAAGCCCTTGTATGCTTGTACCCCGTTCGACCAACGCGTTTCCTTGATTCTCGCGGTGACAACCGCACCACTGCGAATCTGAGAGATGACTTAGTGCCAGTGCACCCAGGTCGGGTACCCTATGAGTGGTTTGCGCACTTGTATTCTTTAGTAAGTCGCTCCTTCCGATGCCCCGTCTTTTGTCGTGGCGTGTGTGTTGGAAGGAGCAGACCTCCGTTCTCGGATGCTATTGCCCTATTAGCCCACTCTGTTCGATCCCGCCTAATCCATGGCGATTGGATCAAAGACCGGACTATCTCTTTTTGGTTAGCGAAGCTATGGTCTATGTCGTACCTCGGACCCGTGCGTGTCGACCCGATCGACCGTCTAAAACCATCTTTCCGAAGATGTGTCTGAGAACATGACATGGATGTGCCTAGCTAATCCCCGCATCTTTTGCCGTGTTGAGCGACTCTCTTCTCGGCTCCCAACGTTATTATGTCGTGTGGATCAAGAGGACCCGTTGCTGTCCAATCTCTTTGCGCTACCGCATTCTACCATAGCGGACGAGCCGAAGTACATTAGAGCCAAGTCACAATAGTGTTATTCGTTCTTGTCCACTTCTTGCATCCAATGGTGACTTGCGGGATAAGGCTATAAGAGCCGAACCCCGTCGTTCTTCTTTCTTGAGGCCTGACTTCCAATCCCCATCAATTCAATGACACCGAATCGAAAGATCGTGAGCCGTGGTGTTTGCTCTGGATAAGCTCTGGCTTAAACCGTTTATCGTAAAGCCATACTGGCTTGGCCATGACTTAAGCTTGTGCTCAGCATACCACCACTCGTGTTTCCTTGGCCCATGGATCGGACATCAGCCAAGAGGGCCAAGTCATTTCCTCTTTGTGTTCCTTCTGAGTCTTGTCGCCTTTTTGGGATATTGTTTGTTCTCTTGCTTTGAGTGAGTTTTGGAGGTAATTGCCTCGAGGACAACATTGGATCAGAACCCAATGGAGAAGGAGGACATGATCGATGACAGGACCCTGCGAAGAGGAGACCTTGCTGATCGACTACATCAACTAACGAAGATTTGTACCACTACTACCTCGACATCGCAGGTGTCATGGCAGCACCCTCTTTTAGAGAATCCTATTAGACATTGCATAATATCTAGAACTGCTAGAGCTTTATATTTAATCATTTGATGCATGCTACCACCTGAGCCATTATCACCCTGATGCAACCCACTCTACCACGTCACCCTGCCTTGCGTATTCACTCACTTATATATGTTTACTTGTCTGTTTGCTTGCATATTACATCACTATACTTATTAGTAACTCCACTTCGCATTATGTCGGGGATGTGATGCTGGTGGTGAACCCCTGGAAATGTTTTGGCTATGGGAGCTGGACTTGGTGGTGTGTGAGCGTGCTGCGTGTGTCTTGGGTGCGTGGAGAGTGAGGGTTGTGTCGACCGAGCTGGAATAACGACGAGTCTAGGGCGAGTCATGCCATGTGGTGCTACCTGGGCACTTGGATATGGAATACCTGTGGCAGGTAAATGGTAATTGGAGGTGGCCTTGGGTGTGAACCTCGGAGAGGTGGAGCCCGGGGTAGAGGTGCTGTGGTGGCACGTAAAATGGAAACCCTGATGAAGACATTCTGGCTTGGTCATCCCTAAGGACGTACTAGTACTCAGACTCACCGGGAATCCTTTACATCCCACTCACCCTATATGTTGCGGGACGGTCGGACTACTTGGTAGAGCGATGCCACTACTGCTAGGCGAACGTGTGCAAGGAGGTACGGGGCGCGCGGTTTTCCCCCACACCCTTCCGAGACCTCAGGAGACCTTGTGGACCAGCCCTTGACATCCGGTGGGCCCCGGCTCTATCTACGACTCACAGTATCAGCCATTGCAGACTAGACTTGGGATGTTCCAGGGCTGAGAGGTAGGGTGGCGTCGTTCTAGGCTAGCAAGCGGCCGGAATCTACCTAGACGGGGCACCGTCGAGGATGGCTATCTTGTGGATATGTAAAACCTCTGCAGAGTGTTTGGTTGATCGATCGATACATATGCCGACTTGTCGGCTATGGACCTTTCCTGGGTTTCGCTTAAACTAGATAGCGAGATGAGTCCTTCTATTCTCCCTCCAGGGTTTGGGGTATTTTCCGGTCTTGAGCCTTAGGGGCTGCGGGCCGTTGAGACAAGGCCGAGAGGGAGTTGGCCTGTCGACCTGAGTGTGTGAGATGAGATAAGGTGTGGTGGTGTGGAGAAGGTTTGAGATGGATGGTTGGTGGATGGATATGGATGGTGTGGTGGTGGATGTGTTAAAAAAATTGGATATTATTATTATGATATAATTGTTATTTACTTCTCATGCGCTAAGAATGCAAACCACAGCCAAATATTAGGATCCCTTGTTTATCTTTTTTCACTAAAGCTCATCGGTGCTGACCATGGCCTGCACACATCTGGCGGTGTGCAGATTTCCTGTTTCTCAGATATGCTGACTTTAGAAGGATTAGGAGGTCTCGTGCCTACGCTCAAGTTTGGTTCGGAGATAGAATCTACGCTGCACTACGCCAACACTGATGATGACACGTGAAGGATGAGCCTTCACTCGATAGTCTTCCACTAGATTAACCCTTTAATAGATGTGTTCCCTAGTGATGTAATATCTTGTATTCTTGTACTCTTACGATGTATGACTGTGATATCGACTGATATATGATAATATGATGGAATCAACTATTGGATTCATCATATTATAATTCATTATGTGGATTTTCCCTTCGCGGAAAATTAAGGATGTTTCACCGTGGATGTATAGATATTGCGTCACTAATGACATCAAAGTAACACAAGGAATTTGACGTGTCCACTTAAAATCAAGATTTTTCTTTGGTTCCTCAAAAAGAGCGTAATACTAACAAAAGACAACCTACCTAAAAGAAATTGGCAAGGAAGCAAATATTGCTGCTTCTACACTAATTTTGAGACTATTCAACATATGTTTTTTTAGTGTAATTATGCTAAATTTCTTTGAGGTGCGTTGTACATGGTGTTTGGCATTACCCCACCACATACTGTAGCAACCTTTTTGGGAATTGGTATAAGCAGTGTGGAAAAGATTCAAGCTTGTTATTACTAGCAGGAGTGGTTGCCTTCTTTTGGTCCTTATGGCTCACTAGAAATGATAGTGTTTTTGATAAGTGCAGTCCTAAAACATTTTTGCAGGTCTTATTCAGGGGAATATTTTGGAGTCAGTTGCAGCGAAGTGAAGAAGAGAAAGAATATATCTACAAAGCTGGTCAGACCCTGGAGACATCGTCTTTGGCATTTTTTTCCTCTTATGGATGGCCCATTATATATAGGATTGCGAATTGATTTTTTGTCTTTTTTTGTGAGTCTTCTTTAAACGTTAGTGTAAGAACTTTTTGTAATAATTTGGTTTGATTCCTCACCTTTGAGCGAGGATGAAGCCGGATGTTTATTCCATTGTCTAAAAAACAGTTGGTTATATGTTCTTACTGTAGTTAAACATATACCGTACTTAACCTTGAGGCCATGAAACATGCATGTCAGCGCGGACATGTGAACGCATATTGCTATTCAATCATGCCTACTTGCATGACGTTGGTCCCATGCTTGAAATCTGACGCCATGAATTGCTGCATCGGAAAATATCTCCCAACTTCATAACACTAACAATTTTATATGTGGCTGACGTTTGTCGACAATGCTGATGCCGCCGTAGAGAAGTTAATATTAAAGCCAGTGCCTATCTTCTTAATTTCTTCTGATTGATGCTTCTGAACACCCAGAACATCCACCAAGGTCAAGGCCAAAGGTAAGGAACGTCGCCATTTGTGGATACAATTTGAAGTGCATTAATTTTTTCTTATGAGAGTTGACATTTATATATACCTAATGCCAATTGCAGAAATTTAAAATCGAAATATCATTCATTCCCTTAAGTTGAGAATATTGTCATTAAAATACCTTTTTTTATAGATACGAATGACAAAATTAGTGGAGAAAATGCATCTTGAAACCATGGAAAACTGATTTGATCCAAGTGACTCTACAAAGTTGTATCCCACCGGCACATGAATCAGCTGGATAATAATCTGTCATTTACTCAACTAATGGGTCAATGATCCTTGAATTCCATATGCTCAGCAGAGAGCAGAAAATGTACTTGAATTTTCACCCGCAGATAGGAATAAGGCGCAAACCACTGAACCAGAGACTTCCGTCCTCAGATGTATCATCTAGAGTCCATTTTGAAGGCACATCGATCCAGGAATCAGTAATCAGTACGCTTCGCGTGAAATTTGTGGCCTAGATTTTTGAATACTTCATAGAATTTACAGTCTCGTTTGTTTAATGTTTGAAAGCAGAGAAGCCTGCAGGGGGTTTTGAACACTTTGTAAAAATTTACAGTGTCGTTTGTTAATAAAATGTGTTCCAAAGCACACGCCTGCAGCTTAACCATCCATGCCTTCTGCCAGTTCGCACACGACGTGGAACACGGCCCTCACCGGGCGGTGATCGGACAGCCGGTAGCCACCGCAGCGCTCGTACCGGACCTGCTTCATCCCCTTCCCGCGACACAGGATCCGGTCGCACCTGCAAACAATTAAAAAACAGCAGCAACGAACACCGTGAGAAGAAAACCATCTCGATCGCCTGCATGGATATCTGTGTTGGGAGAGCTGGGCGTCAGAGTCGTCAGACCATGCCGGCGCGCGGTGGCGGTGCTGCTTCTCCGGCCGGCCGGTGGCGACGCCGTCGACAGCGCACCAGTAGAACTGGTCGGAGTTGCGGCGATACTTGTAGGTCGGGGCGAAGGTGACGTGGCCCTCGTGCCAGCCGTCGAACTGACGGCCCTTGGAGAGCTCCAGCAGCAGCTCGTCGTTCTCCAGCAGCATGCTCCATTTCCTGAGCCGCACCAGCTGCCGTGCCTCGTCGTCGTCGTCCATGGCGATCCGGTAGTTGAGGTCCCCGAACAACACCACGCGGCTGCATGCGAGTACACGATTGGATCATCAACGACTGTTTTCCGTTGCTGCTGCCAGTAGAATGTTCAGAGCTCGATCGGGCGACCTACTCATGGCCAAGAATCTTCTTGGGCAGCTCATCCGGTGCTGCCGGCGCGCCGCCGGAGCGGACGAAGCTGGTCCTGGAGAGGATGCCCGCGGCGTCAGCGTTCCGGCGTAGCGCGTCGCCGTCCTCGCCGCCTGAGGCCAGGTGGCAGCAGACGAAGCTGAAGCTCGTGCTTTGAAGCAAGAACCGGACGGACACCGCGCCCTGCGTAGCGCACCGCACGCACGCCGCGTCATCCGCATGCATGCTTCTGGTGTACCGTGCGTCCGTGTGTGCGACTCTGCTTCTATATATCTTACCTTGTTGCCGAGCCGGCCGAGGACGCCGGCGCCGACGCTGGAGACGCCAGGGTGGCGGACGTGCCGGCGGAGGCTGCTCCTTGTCCACACCGACACGAAGATGCTGACCATCTGCTTGCTCATGAGGCACCTGAACAAGCCGCTCTGTCCTCGTTGATCGTGCATTGCTGCAGCTCCATCACCATGCCTCCTGTTGTTCAATGCGTCACCGATGAGCAGCTGCCACTTCATGGTTGCCCGCCTCTGTTTCGGGCCAAGCACGCTCCTCGCGTTCAGTGGCACCATCTCCTGGAACCTGCATCGTGCAAACGTTGCGACTGATGATTCTTTCTTACTGCACCATCCTGATGAAAGACAACGCTGATAAATTAAGAGATGACAAATCGGTTGGCAAAGTGGAGTACCCAAGAACATAGATGTCGTAGGAGTCGGTCCTGGTGTCCATCCAATCTTCCAAGCTAAGATCATCAGGCGGCGCCATGCCGCCAACGTTCCATGTACCAGCAAATATCCTGCAGCGTCATCAGGTCCATGGTTTCCAATATCGGCCGAAATCTCCTGATATTTCCGATATATCCTCTTTATCCGTAGGTGCCGATAAGAAAATATCTATCTTTTTCATACAAATTTTGTTTAAATTTATTTAAATTTACTTAAATTCAAATTCAATTTTATTTGAATTTGGTCCGATATTTCCGATATATCATGTTTATCCTCTTTATCTATGACCCCCAATAAATTTTAATTTCCGAAAATGAAAACCTTCAGGTCATGGAAAAACTCGTATGCCGATTGCAGTTGGTGAGACGAGCTCGATCGATTCAATGCAAAGAGCTCCACTCCAATGGGCGCTCACCTGTACTTGACGGTCTCGCTCTGTTCCCCTTGCATTCTAGTCTTCTCCAAGCCGGAGAGTTCGGAGACGAATTGATGACCCACCAGTACCCTGCTCGCCGCCGATCTTGGCCAGATCATCTGGAACGGAGGAACGACGACGACGAGTTCATGTCACTGAGACACAAACACGGGGAGAACGCAAGCAAGGGGATGGAAACGGGAGAGTGCTGACTTGTGCAAGCCTTGGGCTCTTCCCCATAATGCAGTACCTACTACAAGGAAGAGAGCAGCTGCAGAGTTGCTGATTGGTGCCGCCTCTTTCAGTAGGGACTACGCAGCATTCAAGAATTAATTAATGGGAGGGTATGACCATGAGGTAGCAGAGAAGGTTCAGGTATATGCACAAGTCTTACTTGGAAGATATATAGGTGAGGCAAGTTGGATCCAGGGACAAACCTAGCACTACAACAATGGGCTGTAGCAAGTTGGCCACTAGATATCATGCTGACTATACAGGAGCAGGAGATACATGTCAGGTATCCACATATTTGGTCAGGAGCTGTCCAAGTAAGCGGAGGCACGATACACACGTCCCTTCATTGGCCGCATGCATCCAGGAAAGTGCATCGCCTGCGTTGTTTCCTGCCGCATGCAGGGAGAGCGCGTCAAGCGTGTGGGCGGGTAGTAGGCGCGGACATCCGGAGAGACGCCGCGTCCGAGCATCCGGACGCTAGTCTTTCCCTATTCTTAACGATGACAAGAGTTTGTTAAATTAATCACAGGGTGTGCTTCATTTTCGTGGGAATTTATAGAAGGTATATTTTGAGCGTGCCTAGAAAGGATTAATTTGAAAATTCCAAAGAAGCATCCTACCGTCTGTTAAAGAAAGATGTAAAGTACAAACTGAAAGGACATCCATTTCAGTATAGTCCCTCAAGTTCTACAAGTCTTGTTACTTTAGACATGCTGGTTGAGGTTAAATTTTTAGAGTTTTGATTATCAGTAACTTCTAAAATATTTGGTTGCCTGAAGATATTAAGACATCATGTAATAAAATAGTACATTAATATAATTAGAAATTTGGTTTTTAACATGATAACAGAAAAATCATAGCCAATGCTAAGTCTTGGAGACAGCGTCATATTATTGTCCAGAACAAGAATTATATAACAGGGGTGAGTAATTATTTGTGTTCAGTAATAATGCAGCCCCGTAAAACAAAGGAGAGCCCCTAAATTAACATCTGTGGCCATGAACATTGCTGCCTCGAACATTCTGATTGGAATGTCGTCGTAACATTTTTCATGGTTTGGCCGGGGTAGGTAGGACCATTAATTAATCTGCTTTAATTTGGATAATGACTGGGGAGAAGGATGAAGCGACAAAGGTACAGTTAAGCAACTCGCGCGCTGTTCGCTTGCTTATAAACCGTATTTTTTCAGCCATCGAATAGTATTTTTTCTTTCACAACAAATCAGCCAATAATACTTTCAGCCATGGTTTATCAACCAAGCGAACAGGGCATAAGATAAAATGCTTTGTTATTGTTATCTGTTTGGGTTGCTACCTTTATTATGCCAATGCAACCAACAAACCTGCAACTTGTGTTTTAGTTTCGCCAGAATCTGATTGACTCTTGTGCCCGTATTGGTGTGGATGATAAATCTCATATCATAGCAGGCTCATAGCTACAATACAATATGAAGGCCTAACTGCAGCTTTGCTGGTGTCAACAGTGTTTCCATGACTAAATATTTGACCCTCCCATGTTCTGAATAAAATTATATATCCAATAACAAAGACCTTTTGAAAGAAAAGATACTACATTTTTCTAACTAGACCAATGTTAGCATCGAAGTGCAAAGACACATTATAACCCCACTGGAGGTGAAGGTTCCTGTATACTATAGTGTGGGTAGCGTACGATTGAAGTGACATTCAAATGGCACCTTATCAACCTTCTTCTCATACCTTGAGTGAGGTCTCTTGAGTAAGGTCCCTTCTTCTAGCCCTAGTGACTCCCTTCTTGAATGAAGGTCATTCACTCAAGAAGGGAGTCACTAGGGCTAGAAGAAGGGAGTAGGCCAAAACCACCCAAAACTCTAAGCAACCCAAAAAAACCAATAGGATCACGTTAGCATTGGTCGCAGCACGCCTTTGATCCAGCATAGCTTCATCTTGATAAACTATTTTCTTGTACCTCTCGTGCACCATCGTGTTTAAGAAGGAAAAGGTGTATATGGAGGGCTTTCTCCCAGAGAAGCTCAAAGAGAGAACTTAAGACAAAGGTAGGGCGACAGTGCATGACGGACCTCCATGGAGGGCCTATTTATAACTAGAAGAAATGTGTACGTAGCTGGATTCAGCGGTGAAGAACTAAGTAATCGGTGGCAAGTGAATCCAACGGATTGGTAGGACATTGTTGGGTCAATCCACAACTTGATACTGATATTGAGTTGCCACTGCCGAGTCAAGACAAAGCTTGGCATTGGCATATCACTTCCGGGTTGTAGTCTAATCGACGGTGTATTCCCCATATCACTGCTAGGTCATTGCTCAACCTAGTAGTGAGAGTGGGTTCAACCGCCGAATCAATATATATATATATATATATAGGATCTCAATCACTATCCAAATACTAAGCTTATAACTCAGTAGTGAAAATGGCTAAGTGCCAGTTCTAGCACGTCTAATAATGATAGACTGGCAAAAGACAGTGTCTTCTGCAATAGGATCCACGTGTCGGCCGGCGCGGAGGACGCACCGCCCGTGCCACCACCAGGAAACATCTGTCTCCTTGCATTGGCTGGGTCTCCAAGGCACGTCCCATGTTTACTCCACCACGCACTGGGTTCTTGTCTTCGGGAGATGTCATGCGATGGGTCTAGCGGCATGGTGAGACGGTGGCACGGTGCCGAACACGGCCCATAGACATGCCCATAGGTGGTGTGTGGTCCGTGCTTTAACATGGCCCTACCTGGTACATACACGATCCTAACTTACCATCAGCAATGCAACAGAGCGATCACGTACAGCTCACCTAATATAAGATCCTGTCTGGTACCTGTATACTGATACTGATGTTTTAGTTTGTTGAAAATAAAGCTACTTTTATCGGAATGGAAACCTCTAGAACCTAATGCCGGGAGCGTCATCGATCGTGCCTGTCCCAATGCATGCAAGCTCCAAACTGTTCCTTCAAGCAGCACTAGCGTTCATTCATGTAGTACCTAACATAAGGGGGACCTTGGAGCAAAACCATGCGTACCAGTGCTGTTGGCCCATGCACCGTGTGTAACCCTGCAATTGGCTGCGCCATCGTTGTCGCCTCCTTTCCTAGGACCATGATGGGTACGTATATATTGGGTAGGGCAGGCATTATTATTAGCTAGGCAGCACTACTAGCTCACTGATGTGGTTATGTGCATGACGAGATCAGCAGAGTGTCACACGTGTCCTCTTTGGGTCGCTGCCATTTCAGCTCGTGCTGAAAGCTACGACAGGGCAGCCATGACACAAGGAGGTCGGAGGTCCCCATCCATGTCTGTACAGCGTGCCCACGATGTATAGTGGGGCTTGAAGTCGATGCATGCCATGATTTGATGGGACACAGTGAGCTGGCTGTGACACGTACTCGTCCTAAAATTAGAGACATCAGAGCATGATTCGCATGTCCTAAAATACATAACAAATTAAAACGACGATTAGCTAGAGCAGCATTTTGGTCAAACGCGTAAGCGAAATTAAAGATGTGAAGGCATGGCGATGCTACCTGACATGATTTCTTGCATATAGCCTTGGCCCCCCATCCCGGATGCTCAAACCAGAGGCTGAGCGTAGCTGCAATTACAAAATATCTCTGAGGTTCATAACCACTACTATATCAACGTCTGATATGTGGCTGGTGTTTATTGTGGGCAGTGCTCACTATGTAAAAAAAACACATCACAGATGCGTCTTTAGAGACGTCACAGATGCGCTTCGATGCGTCTCTAATAACATGTCTGTAGTAAGGTCTTATTACAGACGCGCCTCAACACGCGTCTGTAGTATACCAATGCGCGTCTGTGATTATGTTTCAGACAGACGGTAGAGGTAAAGACGCGTCTGTGACGACCCTTATCACAGACGCACATAACCAACACACGTCTGTGATGAACACTTATCGCAGACGCGCATAACCAACACGCGTCTGTGATAACGATTTACTAAAACAAAAAAAGGGAAAAAACCCAATGCCATTGTCTTATATATCATACATGACATGTCAAATTACATACAGCAGTCAATTGCTAATTAGCAATTTCATGGACATGAAGTAATATCAAAAGCCATTACATGTCCCTCATATACTACAAGTAAACCTACTTTCTACTTGAACTAAGAAGATAAGTTGCAGGCATATAACTAATAATCTTCTTGAAGGAAATATTCAAGTCATTGGATTCTGCATAAGTGATGTAATCACACAGTGAAGTTTAGTACCAATTTGCGACTGAAGTGAGAAGCAAACTAACAAAATTATTAAAGCAAAGAAGGTCTCACCTGCACTGTGCAGCAATCTTCCCTTACCCATCTTTAGATCATTCCTCTAAGAAGCAATGCTGCAAAACGTGAACTGTATGTCAACTGAAGCAAAACATT